AGAGAAACTGTTTTGTCGTGGTAATCATGCCCAATATAGAAGTTCAGTTCTCAACCAACTGATTAAAACTTCTGGCAGGGTCCAATCCCAGGTTTGCCAAATCCACGGAAGCTGGGTCCATAGCCGGCGGGGCCATCGTCGAGGTCGATGATGAGTCCGTCGCTCCTGCTCCTGCATATGACCCCTGGCCCAATGAACCCGCATCCCTGGACCAACTCCAGGATCAATACAACTTGGAGATGAAATGTTCAGGACGTGTGGCGGGGACATCTTTGTACTTGGTTCATGCGTCCAAGAGAGATGGGCAACGAGTGGATGTTCAAGGGGACCAAGAATACAAATTGTATTTGGTTACTTGACTGATGTATTCAATTTGGCTTTCAGTCAAAGCTGTCACCAGGTATAGGATTAGGCCGTCTTACTTTCAGCGTCGTGCCAGGTGGCACACACAACCGTCGAGCTCACCACCAATGAGTTTCTAATTGCTCATGGCCCTTCGAAGTGGTTGAGTGCTGAGCAGGTTGACAAGTTTCGGCGCCAGAAGCGTGTAGGCAGGATCAAGCACACTCTCAATGGCATCAACAATACTAGGAACAAGAGCAGTTTGTTTGGGGCTCAACTCATGGTCTCAACTTTGCGAATTGTTCAACCGGGTCTTGTCGCTGATGCAAGTTGGCTCAATCACTGATCGTTGCCTTTCCGGGCGCCTTTGCCGCATTCTTTGCTACGCATGGCTTCCACTCCGGGTCCCCTGGAACACCTTTTAGCTAAGTATGGCTTTGACCAGGAAAGGAGGGTTCAGCTATCAGCTGCCAACTTCTTTCAATATGTCTGACCTATTTTTCTTTATCCCCAAAGCTGGGTGTTTCACTATGTCCCGCAGGACTTTGATGGGATGGCCAACGAGAGCCCAGCAAACATCGTGACCCCATCGCCTCGTGTCAAGGTTTGACGCTCAGCTTTCCCCTTTAAAGTTCAATCATTAGTACCTTATCACCCCAGGCCCCAACGCCGTCCTCTTCTGCAAGTGCTGCAAATCAATCCGTAGAAACGCAGGCAGGCCTCGTCGCCAGCGGTGATGTGCTTTGCCAGTCAGTCCAGGTGTGATAGGTATGACACACACAGAGAACCTTGATATATAGTACAATATGCATGGGGTGTGAGTTTAAATTCATACTACGCAAGTCCTCCGGATTGAGGTACCTCATGCATGGGAGTTGTTCTATGAGACATTCTCTTGACTTATTCAACTCTGCATTCCGGGCTCTGCTCTTTCGACACAGTTGTCAGGCACAGAAGAGACGCCGGGGCCCTGAACAGTCTTTGTCTGCATCAAACAGCAAGACATTGAAACCCGAGTTGCCTATGACGACAGTTGGACTCACCAATGCAAACGATAGAACTATGGATGCTGAAGCAAAGAAGAAATTGCAGAATGAGTTGGATGAAGCAGCTAGAAAGGTTAGCGCTGTTCGCCGAAAAGCTTTCCACGCTGACCATGAGAAGTCTACCAAGGGACGTGGTCGTGGCAGGGGGGGGAAAGGTAAAGGCAAAAGCAAGGGAGGCAAGAAAGGAAAGGACAAGGGTGGCAAAGGTTCTAAGTCCAAAAAGGTTCCCAGGTCTACCAAGGCAGGGACAGGGAAAGGTTCAAAGAAAGAGGATGAGAGGGAGGAGGATGGGGACATGGAGGAGGAAGGAGACAGTCTTGATTCCGAAGAGGAACTCTCAGAGGAAGAGACCGACGAGTATGAGGAGGGTGAGGAGGAGTGACAATACCATCTTAACATTCTCTTTGGAACCTTCTCTTTGGTAACATTCTCTTTGGAACCTTTCACGCTTTTGGTAGCGAGGAGGAGCAAGGAGCTGGCCATGGGAAGGACTGAGTTCCTTTGAACAGTAACTGTCAAACAATAGAGCCATGTTCCAGGAGGCTGAGTTTGGGAACCAAGCGAAGGCTACCAAAAGCAAGGACCGCGTCGCTTATACCAAGGATTCTTACTATCTTATGAAACATACACACTTGTGACCCTATTGAAAATTGACTTCTCATTGATACAAACCAGCTAGGAGAAGCCTACCTCAAGGATTGGCAAGGTCCTCGCAGACAAAGTAAAAACGAGCGAGAAGGACAATTAGAACGATCCAGTGTTGTGCTGTTGCAACCAGTTCAGCTTAGGGTCATAAATCAGCTCAATGATATCAACCAACAACATGTCGGTACGCCAGGACCAGAAGTCCAAGCCCGAGCAGAAAAAGACTCGCGCAAAGAAACCTGCCGCCCAGGCGCTCAGTGTTTGATTCAATTTGGGCCACACTTATTTTAAACTCAACGCGGGCTCCTTTAAACAACGTCGTGTAACAAGAGAACTTACAGCTGAAGACCTCCAATGGAAAAGTTCTGCACTAGGTACAGTATCCAAGTGTTGGTCCAAGTTCAAGGTTCATGTTTTTTGTTGCCAGGATGAACCGGAGACTGGCGCCAACCTTAAGACCATCTATTGGAAGCACATCAACGAGGCGAAGGAGCGTATCCTGCAGGAGAACCCTGAGTTAACGAAGAGGGAGGCTTTGAGAAAAGCCCAATCTGAGTCCTAGCCTCACTCTTTCGATTAAATCTCATCATGTGTCTTAATGGCAATGTCCACCACAAGCATGAATAACGTGATTAACAATTGGGTTGTCTCACCATTTTGTTTCGTTACCCAAGGTGGGAAGGGCACCCTGCGAAGAAGATGGCCATGAAGAATATGTCTCACAGTGAGCTGAGTCGCCGACGTTGGGTGGGTCCCAAGGAGGACTAAAACACTTCTTGAGCCATGAACTGGCGAATATCTGCGAATCATGTTGTCATGATTCCCTGGGGTTTGGTGTGCAGCCCAGGACCTGTAGCACCATTTTGTTCCGCTACCTGTGTAGCTTAGAGGTTTGAGGATGGAAATTCCGGACAACAAAACAATCTGCCATATGTGGGAAAATAACTTTGAGCTCTACGTCCACGGATTGTGACGCCAGTTCTGATTCTGTACGTTTGCCCCTACTTGAGCCCAGCTAGCCCCAAAACGTGGTCCGAGTCCATTTAACTGGTTGAATTTTGGACAGGCGATCTTGCCAGATTGACGACCTTCACTCTGGACAAAGAATCAATCCCTGTGATTTTAGAAGTGCCAGAGAGTGGATCCAAAGCCACAGTGGACTCTGAAAAATGTTCGCTACGGGCATTGTTGACTGAACTTGAGGATGAAGGTAGCATTGATGCCACTGTGAACGGTCACGAATTACGACGACCATCTCCGAACGACTCTGGCACTGGTCATGGACCCAATATGTGGATGGAAACAATGGAAACACTTTTTGGAATAAGTTTAGACTGTTTTGATGTGAGGATGACCTGATCCTTTACAGGTGTCCGTTTGAATGAGGTGCATATCTTATCAAGCCAAAGGCTTCTGCGGTGACTTATCAATGGAACACAGTGACTGCCATGAAGTACACCAATGTCGCTTCTTTCTTTACAGATGCAGTCCTTTGCCCTTCATTCAATTGGGGAACAGTTTGGCCAGTCATTCATTTGATTGTCTACTATCTACTCCACACAGCATTTGAACTTAGCTGCTCCCAGGAACTGAGTGCTACTCGCACTTTGGCGCGGGTATGGCGAGTAGCATATGTGAAGGAGTCAAACGCTTCTCAGTTATGAAGAGTTGAATTTTCCTGCCACCGGTTTCACTAGCTGCTGCGTTTGGTTTGACCGTTCCGAAACACAAGAAACCTCTAGGCTTGTGGCTCTTTGTTCGTTCTCTTAGTAAGGAGATAACACCTCGATGCTTCCCTGCACTTAGTGTTATGCGGTTAAGGGTTTGTTGCAAAAGGCAGATTTTGTGTTGCTCGACTCTTGCTTGGTATCTCAGGAAAGCCACTTTATTTCGCGAAGGAAAATCTGACATTGAATGAAGGTGAGGTTTTGCGATTAGTGTGACAGCATTTTCCAATGGTGACTGAGCTGAAAGCTGCAGTCCGTGAACTTTGAGAGAGAAATCCTTTTATGTTTCGGAAACCAACAAATCTGTTTCGCGAATGTCATGTTGTTGTGTTGTTTTTGAGACGCAGCTGCAAGCTCCCACTTTGGTTGTCGGCTGAATCTGTGGCCACCTTAAAGCAAACAGTGGTGGCGAGTGGATTCAATTTTTGATGCTTGGAACTTTAGGCTTTGATGGCCTTGGCCCTGAATGGCCCTTTCAAAACTCTGAGATCTTAGGCCGCTACCAAACGGTGCGACATGATTGAGAGGAGAAAATACTCTGATGTCCGTTCAGCCAGCAGTGACCTTGGGGTTGGGGAACCTCGAGAAAGAGAACCAATATGAGAACCGGATAGAAAGAAATGTCCCCCGAATGCAGCGAAATCTTCTTATATATGATAATATAGAGACCCCAGGTGAACCAGCCGAATGTAGGTAGATATGCCAGTCCCCTGGATGGCCTGGGTGATTTGAGTGTCACTTCAAGCTCCAATCACCCCTGGTACCCTCCCGGTATCGCCGGAAGATCCGAAGCCGCTGGGTGGAAGCGACCTCGTACTGCGGGGGGTTTTGGAAGGGTTATAAGTACTAGTCCAGCACATGTCCAGCACCGCCTGTCCTTCTTTTATATATCACTTTTGGAAGGCACCGTCGTCTCTCTTACTATCCACTGATATCAAGTACCGGACTTAGGGCCGCTTGACCGTACGGTCCCGTCCCACGTTCGCGGTCCGGTCGCTGACCGGGTCCAGGTCGGTCCAGGTCGACCCCTGCCAAAAACGAAAGGAACCTTTTGAGAGGCGAACATAAAAATGACGGACTTCACATGACTTTCTATGAAGTAACCCCGACTCATGGTTCCTTTACTTTCCACTTAGGCTCCGAATTGAGAAAGGCTCCCTTTTTCCCTCCCCCCAACGATGACTCCCACTGCACCCGCGGGCGCCTGCTTCTTCGTGCCCATCGCGAGCGCGGCGCCCAGGTCTGGACGCGCGATCCGCGCGAGACGAGGACGGTGAAGCCGAAGGAACACTGGGGCGACGCGTTGGAGCAACTGGAGGTGGCTCGGGTGGTGGGGCCTCTGCGAAGCGGAGTTTTGTTTTGAAGGAGTCTCATGCACACGGGGTCAACAAGAGTCAACATATGTCAATTAACATACATACATACATAAATATATATATATACATATACGGTGCGTCATGTTTGTTGTTGTTTGGTTTTGTTTTGTCTTCTGTCCGTGTTCATCGTTTTTTTGTGGGGAATATACTGGATATATATATATATAGAGCTCTCAGGGGATGGGTGGTGTTTTGTTAGTTTCAACATCGTTGCAGGTTGGACGAGCGATAGAACGAACATGAGTTTGTAATTACAGGGACGGTGAGGCACCTACACTTCAAGTCTTGAACAATGAAGCATGTGCTTCAAATGCTTTTGAAGCTCTTGCAGTGCGCTTAGCAAGGGAATTCTCAACCTCTGCAAGATCCACTGCTCATTTGCTCGAATAGTTTTTGGAGACTTGCGAGGCACCCTTCACGGCTGTGTGCCACAAGGGCCTGAAGCCGGGAAGTCCTAACCAGGACCCATCCGTTCGTCGAACGCGTACTGCAGCCTGCGGCCACAGGCTGCAGGTGTAGGTGTTGATCCGGATGGGGATGAGGTGTGGCTAAAGCGGCTGAGATTGGTTGCTCTACCTCAAGTTGCTCCAAAGGGATGACGAATCTGTAGCCATGTTTGATTTGCCGGTCAATAAGTCAATCAATGAGTGCTTGCTGTACATACCGTTTGTATCCTTTTGTTGAATATTCTGAATAGGCCGATATTCTTGGAACCTTTGGTCCATGGTTCGTATTAGTGGACCACGGCAGCTGTGTGCTGCTCTAGTGGGCGAGTAGCTGAATCCATAGCATACTGAAGAAATGATATGAAGCATCACGACTTTGTGCGACGTACATGTTGCTTGCAAGAAAAGGAACGCCACTTCACTCCTCATCCATTCACTCTGGTTCCTCTTGCTCAGATCATCCTCCCTCCACACTTCTCCACCTCACTTCACACCACTCCAACAACTTGCAAGGAGACTCCACTCGATGTTCCGGAACCTTCCTCTCGCCAGGACGCTTGGTCGGTGCTTCGCGTGGAACAAGACCTCTCCCTCTACACCATCTTCGATGGCCACGGACCCCACGGCCTCTCGGCCTCCACTCGGCCTCCGGCTCCAACCGTTCTGGGCTCCGGGGCCTCTCCCTCCGGCTACGCCCGGCTGTCGCCGTCGGTTGCTGAGGCCACGACGTGGCGAACTTCGCCAAGAACGTGCTGCCGCGGCTGCTGGCGGCGGATTCGAGGCTATGGACCTTTGGCGCCTCGGAGTGAACGGCGGACAACGGCGGAAACGTTCGCTTTCGCTCGGAAGGTTTGGGAGGGCGGAAAGCGGCCCCACGCGGCCCCACCACGCGGCGTTCTGGTGTTTTTTTCTTTTTTTTGGAGCACCTCTTGGAAATTGGCACAAGGTGAGGGCACAAGGCCTGAGCTGGAGAACTTGCAACTGAAGACTGGTGTCTCTGAACATGTTGAAGCCAGCTCGTCGTAACCGAAGTCCAATGGGACGCCACATGGTCTAAGCAGTGTCTCGTGAAATTCATGTGTCATTGGGGTCTAAAGTCATTTGGAAAAGCGAAGAAGAAGATGGGCCCATGGAGTCCAGCCAGGTACCAGAACCCAAAGAAAGTCTCCCATTAGGGTCCAGGATGATAGAAACGTGCTTCCTGTTTCGGAGGATCTTTAGAGTCTTGTCTTTTGGAGGTACTTCAACTCAGGGTCGGAGGGTTGGAGTTGAATGAAGGACATCCGAGCAACGGATGGTCCTGGACCGGAGTATAAGACATGGTCCTGGTCGACGAGGTCTTCAGGAATCAGAGGAGTGAATACAAAGAAACCCGTATCTAGGAAAATGACCTCTGGCAAACCGATCTCGGCGTGTGGCGTGTGCGACGTGGAGAAGTTTTTCACGGGTTTGGTCAGGTGAATTAGATGAACTTGAAATGCAAATAATGCATGTCATATTGTTGACATCACAAGCATCAGTAGTTCATGCCGGTGCAAGGTTCAGACTATTGAAGTGTCTCCAATAGGGAAGGAAAATCTTCACCATTTCCAGTGCTTTGAATGACTTCACCTCAAAGGCTCTCTCAAGGAGACCTTCACCGAAGCCTTCCGCTGGCTCCATCAACTCATCGATACCAGCGATGCCTACGACAAGCTCAACGCCCGATGGTCCGGTTGTACCGGCTCAGCGGTCTTGCATGCGCCCAACGGCCGGCTCTATTTGGCGCACGTGGGAGACAGTAGCGTGGTGGTGGGCGGTGGCTAGGAGTCAGTGATGGGTCTCACGGCTGGGGAGTGAAGAATTCAACATGGATCAACATGAACAAGACTCTTGGTTCTTGAACAATATAATTGAATCAACCATAAAATACATGTAGACTCTAGGTTCTTGATGAACAAGACCCAGCCTGAAGAGGTGTTATATACATGGTTGTACAATTTTTGGTTCATCAAGAGTCTACCATACTTTGGTTTCAAGATGTTTCAAGAGGATATGAGAAACCATCTAAACTTTCCGGAGATCAGTCAGAGGACTTGGGTCGGTCGAAGTCATGTACAGACCGCACTTCATTCGAGACAAAGACAATGCCAAGATCCATAGGCTGGCGGCTGGGTGCTATTTCGCACCTGAAAGTTGAAGGGAAGTCATCACTACAAGCTTAGCTTTTTGATTTTTGTTGGGGGGCGATTCAATTGAATGCTGAGTCAACAGCATCCACCGATATGTTCCGTTTGTTCCGATTTTGTTTTGGCCTCAGAAGGGTATGGTATGGCTACCCACCATGGAGGTCTTGGATGGTTTTGGTCATGGTAGCAAGTGTCCCCCTGTGGGTCCTCCCGTGGTCGAAGCAATTCGCAAGTTTACCCAATGTCCACCAGTTCGAGTTGTCTTGATTCCTTGTTGATCCTTTTTGTGTTTCATGGTTTACATATAATTCGTGGCATCTTTTCAATGGCCTTGGTCTTTTTAAGATCTCTTCCCAACGACTGAGGCCTCGAAGGAAAAGAGGTCACAGCCACACAGCTGACGCGCGATCACAAGCCGGAGCTGAAGGATGAGATGGCGAGGATCATCGCGTCGGGAGGTCTCATTGACTTCGATGGCTTCTCCGACTACCGCATCTACAACAAGGAAAAAAAAACAGACCGACGCGCCTCGCTGTTCTTCTCGCTCGCGCGGAGCTCGCGTCTTCGGCCCGGCTCGGTTCGCTTCTTCGCGAACGGCTCGTTCTGGTGAAACATGGGGCGAGCATGGCATGGTTTTGGAAGGGGGGAAAGACGAGTGTGGAAGCGTTAGGGATGGAATGAAGGCGGGTGAATAGCCGCTTAAGATGGAATCGACCAAGGCTTGCAGGTTGGGGGTGTGGCTTTACATGGTTCCTGTTAATGTTTCTTTTTTGACTTGGCTCCTGAAATAGTTCATGAAGGTGGTATCACGGTATCACACAGTATCTCAGTATTATACAAGTATCACCAAATGAACTCATTTTCATCCAGCCATCCCAAACCGTTCAAACCGTTGCCCGGCTTTTCCCCCCCTCTTGAGTCACTTGTTCACCTCTGCTTTCTCTCCTACGTTCCGTAGGATGGCTATGGCGCCGGCTTGAACATGACCCGCTCCCTGGGCGACCTGGAAGCGCATCGCGAGACGGGCCTCATCGCCGACCCCGAGTGTCGAGAGTACCAGGCCGAACAAGCCACGCACCGTGCTCGCGCGGTGCTCGCGTGGAGGAGGGAGGACGCTGTGGCGGTGAGGTATGGTGAGAGGGTGCGCATCGCCGCACGGTCCAAACACGCCGGGGGTGGACATTCGTGCGGTTTCTAGGGGCTGATTTCATTTGGAACTTTTGGTGTTGAGGGTTTTGTTCAATAATTAGGTTTCCTAAGAACTCTGGATCCTGTTTCAGGCTAAGAAGCATCGGCGGTAGCGGACACTGCTTTTCCGCCAACGGTGGTTTTGAGATCCCCCTTCGCTGCGACAAGTAGTCGAGTGTCGCAAGTAGTGTCGCAATCACATAATGTGCTGCAATTTCCAGTGATTTCCAGACCCTGATAGTCAAGTACCTAGACTTGATTTAATAACACCCCATTGGGAGTTTTTACACACTCTTCATGTATATGGAGGGGCTCATTAATCAAGAGTCTACATTAATTAGGAGGCTATGCAGTTGCCAGGTGGAATACTGTCCCAGCCTGTTCAGAGAGAGCTGAAACCATGGTCCGAACGAATCAATGGCTGCGGTGGTTTTGGATCACCTTCGAGCAATCGGCACACTTGAGTTGAAACGTAACCCGATCATACCCAGACACTCCTTGGAGCTAGAATATGTGTACCTACATTGACCCCTGAAACCAGGTCAATGTATGATATGCCAGTCTCAACACTTGTACAAGAATTGTGTCTGGGATAGGGATTCACAGCATATCACAGCATCCTTCTGCAACAAGGAGATGTCCGCCGACCCAATGATCTACCATCTTCCCGAATCCGCGCACCGATGGACAGGATGATTTCTTTCTGCCGGATCGACAAGGATTCAGACTTATACCCTAAGAATCCGTATGGGCCCTCCATGGCAGGGGCACCTTCTCCACCGTTTCACGCAGGGGTACGGACCATCAACCTGAACCGATTGCGCAATGCAATCCGGGCCCGAAAGCATTGGAACTTCGATGAGTGAAACACGACATGACACGATCTGTTTGGGACTGCCATAGGCGGCCAATCAGGCAGCCGGTTGATTTGGGGAGTCAATGATTGGCAAAAAACATATGGTTCCATGGAGTGTCTGGGTCCGGGACCCAATTTTAGATCGAAATCATCCTTCTTAGTTCCCAATAGACGCAACGAAGCTTCGTTTTTCCTGGGTTCGACGCCGAGAACATCTGCCTCAGTTGGGCCCCAATGATCAAGTCTTGCTCCTTTGCAGCGATGGCATCTGGGAGTTTATGAGACCCCAGGAGAGTCCCGCACCGCGATCCCACGCCACGGTCCGTGGGGGGAGGGGAAACCTGTGGACGTGAGTATGTGACAGTGGAGGCCTGTGTGGAGGTCTATGTGGAGGCCTCAGACGACCCCCAAAATGAAGCAAGTGTCTGGTGCCGCGCCTCCCAACAAGAAACCCACCAAAAACAGCCTCTTGGGAGTCCGAGCACCCTGCAGGGTCATGTCCCTTCCTGTTCAGGGCGGTTGACACGGGGGAGACACCGATGCGACGGTCGGGTCGGGACGGACGCGGCAGAAATGGACAAAAGGAGGGAAGTGTCTGAGCATCGGCAACCAAAACAATGGGATGCCATGTAATCAATTAGTGGGATTATGGATGGAATTATGCGATACACACACAGAGCACGAGCAGGAGCAGGTGCTCCACAAGTTGGCTATGGCTCAGAGACGCGACCTTAGAACAAAAGAGCCATATGTACAACACCCCATTTTGTTTCTGGAGACCCAGGTTCACTATTCAGACTATTCATGTTACACCTATTGCACCCCATGGACACCATCCCCGGCCGCGAGCAGCGCAAAAAGCAACGCGCAGAAAACCGCAACGCCGGTGCGCGCGCGCAGGAGGCCGTCGACCTGGTGCTGCGTTACCCTCAAAGCCAGGCCTTCCTGGCAGCTGAGGAGTTGGTGAATGAAGCCAAACGGCGCTGGATCCAACAGGTGCGGAGAAGACAAGCATCCATCCTCCGCTTCTTCGGAACCGTTCGGGTGTGGGAGCGAGCGAAACAGTGCTTTGTGAGGTCGAAAAAACAAGTAAAACCTTTGGAGCCCCCCCCAAAAATGTCTTGCTGGGGGCTCGAACAGGCATGACAGATGCTCTTTTGAAGGAAAAGGACCGACCCGGACGACTGTTTGCTTCAGACGTTGTCCGCCTAGGGAAAGTCAGACGTCATATTTCCAGGATGTTTAGACACGAGTGATCATCATGAGTGGCAAGATCTTTTGGCCGATGTGCTTTTGTTTACATACTATGCTCTTCTTCCATCTGAATACTGTCGGAGTGTGTCTTGTCCGTTTTTTGTTGGCTCATCATCAATATGGGCTGATATATTGTACCAGGACCCCCAGTCGGGGTGCTAGATGGACACCCCGAATCACAGCTAACGGCCTACAAATAGACACCCCAAATGGAGGATCCTGGTAGGATATCTGATCTGATTTCGTGTCGTGTCGGCTTCATGGTCCACGATTCGTCATGTTACACTTGGCTGCCTTTCTGCTCCCATCCAACGTCAGTCCAACGTGAACTCACATTGAATGCGCTGCAACATCCACTCCCGAAAACTCACATGGCACCCAGGTGTTGGCACCCGAATCATCAGACTTCTTAGCGACCTCGGTCGCTGTCGCTGGTTTTCAGGGGCAACAAGGTCAGTTTTCGGGTAGCCCTTTGGAGTGGAACACTTGGGCGCGAGTTTTTCCACCCCTTGGGTTCTTTCGAGCGCCCAAGCACGAGATGCGAACGCGACGTGCGGTCTGCGAACGCGACGTGCGGTCGGTTCCTGACACACAGCTGACGTGCCGACGTGCCGGTGGGCAGTGCCCTCCTGTCAGATCTCCTGTCTACTATAACACGTCAGTGCATGTCAGTGCCCTGTGCCTTTAGACATCTATGGACTATATGAATTATGTAATATATAATAGTAATAATTAATACTATAAATACATAGTATATATAGTTGAGTGCATTCTGACACTGAATTGTTTGCTCGACAGGCAGAGTACATCGATGACATTACTGTAATCGTGATCCACCTCAATCCCCGTGAACGTCGATCTGCTGCAATGGCAAGTGGTGGAGCCTGAGTCACGCTTAAGCGTGACGGCATGGCATGGGTTTTGTGGGCATGTGTAGCTTGCCATAGCCAACTGCATAGTGTTTAGGCCTTTTTAGGCCACCTTTGTTAACTGTTGCATCGTCCAACTGTTGCGCGGCATTTGCAATTGGATTTCAATGCATCTGAATCTTTGTTAATGCACTTTGTGGCTGCGACCAAGAGTGTTGCACCTCGAAGGAGATGTAGGAATTTCACGGCTCATGCCTGGCTCAGCCCTAATTCATAGTCATTGGCCGTCCTCAGGGAATGAGCTCAACGAGTTGCCTAGAACCAAAGCGATCTGATTCTTTTCCCCACTTCGCTGCGTGGCGGAAAATCGCACCGAAAACCCACGCATCGAAGCGGATCGATCGAGATGGGGATCGATCTCGATTATTTCGAAGACTTCGATGGGATCGATGGCCTGATGGGATCGATTGTAAGTTAAGTCGTGCTTTTAAAAGACACACACACAATCTTCTTTTGACTTATTAATAGTGATGGCCTCCAACTTACTATATATAGTGATGGGCTACGAAGAGTTGATGCGCAGTTCGATACGGTGAGGGATGGAGGTTTGGATGCATAAAATCCTGCAATGGCTCAGGGTATGAGCATTTGCAAGTAATCTAGCCGAGCTGCACAGAAGAGAGATTGTTTTGTGGAGGATGTCATCTTGATTGTCTCAACTTGGTGCCCCCTGTCAGGACAGGAATGGTTCTGGTTTTGACATGTTTGACCGACTCAACAAGGAATGAGACAACATGAGAGCACTATCACAGAAGAAGAAAGAGGAGAAGAAGAAGAAGATCGAGCAACAAACATAATACACAAAAAGATGACATGTCTACATATTCTATAGAATCACAGAGAAACATCAGATGTCACATCCATGTAACAGCATGTCACCACATCCAGCATGTCACCTCCCACCTCACCCGTGTCGCAGGTCTCGGATGGCCCGACCATCTCTCAGCTCGGAGCCCCCGTCGTGGCGCGACGCGACGCTCGGGACGATGATGGAACACAAAGATCGGGTGAAATCACAACGTTAGTTGGGTTTTTGTTGGGGGGTCACTCCGAAATCACAAAATTGGCAAAGATCGGGTGTGTCACAATAAACCAGTGGCGCAAGAAGATGATCATGATGCTCAGAGAAAGGCCGGCAACCAGGCCCCATCATCATCCACTGGGCCCTGGTAATGGGATCTACCCCAAGGGGTCCTAAGGCAAAGCTTCCTAGGAATCTCGGAATCTCCTATCGTTCCAAGTCCCTCTTGAATGGCCAGTGCAATATGACTACCCGGGGATCAGCAGCGTCACCTTCCACGAACCACCGACGTTCTCCGCCTCTCTGCTTTGCAGCTGAGGTCGGGCCGCCGGCTCTCGGAAGATCACGCGATCTCCTCGAGGGAGCTGCGGCAGTTTAAGTTCCAACCGCCGGAAGCAGAGGCCCATCACCGGCAGCAGAGAGCCACACGTTAACGGCGGGGTTGGTACTGGGGCGATGGTATATCGGGGCAGGGCACCATCTCAGGTTGTGAGGGGTGGGCGGATTGATTTGGCTCCAAGGATGGGAGGAAGTTGGAAGATGATATGATCAGTCGGTCTGCCCTTGTGGGGTGCAGGGGGAGAATTGTTATTGCTAGTGTTTGTCTTGGATTCTTGTTGGTGTCAAGGAGTGTTTCATCAACCGAAAGAGCTAGGGGTCTTCAAGTCACTGTAAATGTATCCAAGGAGGGTCTGAAGTAGGCAGATGCTGGAGGACAAGATGCTTCAACACAATGTCAAAATGATTCAAGATATTTTTCTGCTTATATATGGGTTGATGTTCGGGATGATCTGGCACTCTTCATGTTAGAACGCCTTCTTTTTTTCAGTTCGAACACCTGGTTCTTCGGTCGTTCCTCCGGAGGTCTCGGACACCACGCTGGGGCAGCTTCAGATTCAACTCCAGGAGGGGCGGACGTGGCGGAGGGGGCCGGCAATGTTCTCGGCGGTCGGGAGGAGTTTGGTTGGTTTTGGGAGTTAGATAGTGAGTTAGATATATCAGATATAATATCGGAATGTATCTGATATCCATCTATATATTCACACCACTTCGCGGTCGAAGCCGCCCGCACAGAGTAAAGGGAAAACAAACACACACACAGACAGACATAGACATCCATCCATGCATACAGACATACATACATGCGTGCATGCATCCAGACATACATGGGAAAAGTGTGTCATTAGCACCCTACCGGCTCGGCAGCAACCTGCGCTCGCGGAGCCGGGAAGAGCCGGGAACTAACAACTTGTGCTTTCGGAGCCAGGAGGAAATGTTAACCGGGCTCAAGTATGAAGAAGCATTTCGCTATGGCCCTATCTAATCGTCAGCCATTTCACAGAGGGTTCTGTCTCGGAGCGTCTGTCTCGGTCTATCTGTCTCGGTCCCTCTGTCTTGGTGTGTCTGTCTCGGTCTGCCCGTCTCGGTCCGTCAGTCGCAGGACACACGGCCGAACACACCCACGATGTCAATAATGCAGCGTCCCCGGGTTGCACACGCGTCCGCAATGTCGATAACGCGGTTTTTCCCGGCTGGCATCACCGGCATCGCCAACGCGGAATCCAAAAATCATATCCACGCATTTTTGAAGTTGTTAAAGCCAGCGTGCAAAAAAGCATGTCTAGGAGAAAAATGTCCCCCCCGCAAGCTAAAGCTTCAGATTTACCCTATAGCAGATTTCTTGCGATTGCACAGAGCCAACACCCTCAACACCTTCGGAGCGGGCGAAGCGCGGGCGGACTATAGTAACAACATCTTCATATAGTTATATAGCTGGCAGATGTTGATGGTATTTATAAAGAATAAATGTACTTTATTTGGACTTGTGTGACATTTTCTTGTTGTCCATGAAGCAGGAAAGCCACTACTGCTTGGGACAGGAAAACCATGTGTGGAGAGTTGTGGTTTTGTTGCGAAACAGTATTGGGTCCTTTTTGTTGATTGAAAGAAAAGGACGTTGTATACCTGAGAGACCAACGAAGTCTACCTCTAAGTCTGTATGTCGTCCCCAGATGTTTGAACCCATCTTGAATCGATCTAGCAGCAGTGCACAAGCTTACACGCGCTCTGCATCGAAGCTTCTCAACCATGGTAGGGCCAAGGTTGCTTTCGCTACTTTGGCCTGGAGATTTTCACTTTTTAAAGATGAAGATGGATCTGGACAAGCTGTCTCTGTGGAAACTGGGGAGGCCTAGCAACTCACTTGCAAGAGCGCGCCAAATCACAGATGGTCATGACCTGACCATGAAAATCACCCCGCGCCGCATGTGATGATGTGATGCCTCGTTCGTTCTTTCGTTTCCGCGCCGCACGTGTTTCCTTGGTCGAAGATGTGCTGAGTCTCTTCACCCGAACCAAGCGTCCCACCGCACGGCCAGTTCCCCGGAACGGGGACAATCCTGATCACGCGGTCGGAGCTGTGCCGTATACGTAATAGCTATAGTGTAGAACGTGTGGAACCCTTAAGGCATAGACCGTTCTGTGTCAGATGTTCCAGGCTAGAATTTGTAAAACCATCAGGTGTTTCAGACCAGATTGTCACTTGTTCCGGACGACCTAACTGTTCTGTTGTTGCCTGTGATTTGTCGAACCATCTGTGTGTTCCGAGGCCGTCCCATAGTTCTGCTTTTCGATCTCCGCATCTCAGGAGCTCTCCCAGTCCAACCAGTACTTGCGAAGGACCGGAGGGCGCAGCGCATGACACGGCACCTGCGGGGGGTGGCGGGGTCCTGATGAAACAGGGAAAGAGGATGGGGGAGGGGAGGGACATGGAGGGACGTTGCAGGGGACTGCAGGTCATTTGGCATAAAAAGGAGGAGTTTTGTGGATCACTGTGGATCCCTATCGGAAGTTCGCACAGTTGTTTTCCTGATGAAGAATAAGAAAAGCACTAGAGATGGCGAGAGCTGTTTTCCGGACTCCGCACATTTCAGGGGAATCAAAGCTGGATCGAGAAGCTGCGTCCGCGACGTCCGCGGTTTTTGTGCATCCGTGGTGGGGCGGGCGTTCGCAGATGTTGTGCCAGGAGACTGCGCTGGTACATGGAGAAGGAGAAGTCGCCTCTAGCTCCCACCCAGGAGGCGCATCATGCGCATCTTCCGAAGTGGCGACGCAGCTGGCTGGGTGCTACTGTCACTGCAGTGTAGGGCGTCCGGTTTTTCCCTCACCGGGCGGAGCTTTGTGCTTTTCTTCTCCGTATGCAGCTGGGGGTGAGGATTTCGAGGTGGTTTGAGGAACACATGCATATGATATAGATTTATGATATAACTATAATTAACGAAGAAGGATAAGAAGGGTATAAGAAATGGCTGAAGATTACGACCCACAAAAAGAATCCAACAGCAGCTGCTCCGTACAAAACGAACTCGATCTACAGAATCTGCCCGCTGTTTTGCCTGGTGTTGTTTTGCCCCCGTTCAGCGCGGTTCGTTTTGGCCCAGGCGGTCGACCAAAGTCTTTTTTTACAACTGTTTGGACGGGAAACAAACAGCGTGGGATCTTTCCTCTTGGAGTTTTTCCTTGAAAGATCTCTTTTAAAGTATAGGCCACCGGCAGGTGGGATTTGGGTGGTTGACGACCATGATTGACCTGGCATTCTGGAGTTTCTCACCTAACCTGATGCTGTAAATGTAGGATCGGACGGAAACACGTTTTCTTTTGGTCACTCCAATCATCTCCAATCGCTCCGCTCTGCGCTCTCCATTGGATCAAAACAGACCCGCGCCTGCCGCTTGAGCCCGGCGGCAAGCCTGCCCGGCGCTCGCGCGCGGCATCGCTCGCGAAGACGCGGGGAAGACGTGACTGGGCAGGTGGATTCCAGCGACAGCTCCCTGGACGACTCCTCCGAGCTGGTTTTCTGGCTGCGAAAAGAACCATGACGTGGGGGTGCTGGGGACCGGTGCTTCACAAGGCCTGAGCGTCCGTGTGGCGGGTGACTGGGGGGTCTTTTGCAACACGTGACCCGTGTCGAACGGTCGTCTGACAAGTGGTCCTTTCAGCGTTGCCGATCTCTTGAGCTGGACGGATCTTTTGCGAAGAAAGCGAACAACGGTCGAACGGTCGGGTCGCCGTGTTCGTCGCAGAAAGGGGCGGAGAGTGGAGTTCCGGTTCCTTTTGGGGGAGCTTGGAGTTCCATGGGCATGGGCATGCGTCGCAGAAGCAAGTGCTTCATGCCTTCTGTGGATGGCGAATTTGCATGAATTTGTTATCTCTTGCTGGAGATGATGTTTCATTTGTTAGTGGTTGCCGGGTGCTATGACCCTGCCATGACCCGTTTTACCAGTTTTGTTGGTTCTTGGGAGTGGGGTGGGACCTTTTGGCTGAGGAGGCTTGGATGGCACCTGTGAGAATGATCATCAAAAGCTACGTTGCCATACTTTGCCACTGTTTTTTTCTCAAACAGAAGAAAACCATCATGTGTAAGACCCTTATCATCCCTTATCCCATGTCCAAGAAACAACCCCAGCTTTCTTAGTAGTTGAGTAGTATAGTAGTGAATCCCAGGAAATTCTTCCTTATAGGACTAATGTTCTCCAGACTGCACTGAGGTTCCCGTGCTCAATCTCGCGGAGGAAAAGGCGAGGATGGTTGCCACATGCGAGGGAACAGATAGAAATGAACCAAGTAAAACCAAGTATGCATTCCAAAGACAAAAAGTAAGCGCTGCATGGCAAAGTGTTCCAAGTTGCAGCTTGTCTTTGGATGACATTTCCTTTTTGCTACCTCAAAGATTGGACATTGAACATTACTGTTTGATAGTCTCTGTCTACTTCAGGACTGCAACTGAGGAAAACATGGCCCGACATGGCCTCATCACTTTGTATACCTTGTTTTTCGCGCCGTCGTCGTAGAGGCCACACAAGAGCTGCCTTTGCCTGCGTTGGAAGAGCTCTCAGGGCAGGTGCATGTGATCTTAGACACTCTGCAGAAGGCCTGGTGACTTCCAGAATGGTGTGGATGAGTGGGGCACTGACTCACTGCGGGGTGTAGTATTACATACAACTACTAGCTTTGGAGGGGAAGCTCAGTGTTTCTTCAGCTCAATGATCACAGTTTTTGGTGCCCTATTGTAATAGGCGACATCCGGAGCAGATTGCCATCCGAAAGCATCCAGTAGAAACACCCCCTAGCGGGATGGAAGCCCCTAGTCCGGCCTGTCTCCAGCGCGGCTGGTCTTTTGCAGGCACTTCAAAAAAATCCTCAGCTCAGAAAAAGAGAAGTGGAGGACTGGAGAGCGATGCATCAATAAAAAATTCAGAGAACATATCCAGTTGAAGCATGTTGAAGCCCAGTGCTCGAAAACCCCTGCCAAATCTGACCGAAGTCTTTTGTTTTTCCACCGTTGATGAACACCGACTCCTGGCAGGAAGAAACACCTCTGAACTCGACAACAATTTCTATTCGATGCAGCACTCTCCGTTGAAGCGAATCAAACAGGTCGACCTTTATACGGAAATGGCGCGCGAAGGCCGGTATGGTCTAGAACTAGTGATCAGCTCAAAGACGGTTGTGATCAGCTCATCAAACACACCCAAAAAGACGCCACCTCTATACGGAACTGCGAACAGCGAACGAACGGTGAATGTTCAAGCAAAGCCTCACGTGTTTTGACGTCGACCAGGAGCTTCTGCGGACTTATGGAGATGTGGCCTGAGACCCGGAGAAGAACGGTCTTCACTGTTCAAAGCAAAGGCACACAGAGACACACGAAAGTCATAAAAGCCACTGATGCGCCAGGTCTCCAAATTGTAACTCGATCTGATCTCTGTGTTTTCTTTCTGTTTGGTTTTCATTCCATGGGACCATGTGACACAGAACCCAAAAATCCGCATGCGGATAGTTTCCAGCTTGCAGACTTGGGTTGTGTTAGGTGTGTATCCGTACATTACACCCTACACCCCGTACGAAATCATCATGGAAGTAGAGTGAGTTCACCACACCACCTGTGAACAATGAGGACAATGGTTGAGTTCATCCTTTTGGGGGACCTTTGGTTCATCCACGTAACCACCACCACCATGGTTCTTCCAGGATCGTTTCTTCCACTGGTGACCGAGTACGTTTCATACGCCACCGGTGACGACCGGGTGACGACCGGTCGTGACGACCGGTCGTGACGAGGTGCTGGAAGGACGGTGGAAGCTCAAAAGCATCTTGGCCGCCTCGACGAGGACGAGCATCTCGTGACTCCTTCTGACTCCTGGGGAGGTCTGGATGTGAAGCGAGGTCTGGATGCCATGCGAGGTCTGCTCCAATGACGATATGTCATGGAGCTTGCCATGTTCATTGGATTGCGAGACATGCCATTGAATCCACTCAATCTCATAATGTATGTCCTTCATATGTAATGTGTTGTGTTTTGTATGTTTTCATGGGTGTGATTGATTCTATAGTATATAGGATCCTGCTTAGCCCTGCTTCAGTGATTGAATGGTTTGTTAGTTAGTCGATTCACAACGATTGATTGATAGACTGCGGTTGAACGCAAATGAAACCCTTTGCCGACTTTGTTGTGCTTTTGTAAACTTGATTGCATGCTTGCTTGATTCATTGACGGACTAAATCACCATCATGATGTTGGTGTTGTATGTTTTGCTACACAAATCAGCTACTTGCCCCTTATGTTTGCTTGGTTGCTTCGGTTGGCTTTGCTGGTTTAGTTTCTTGGCAAGGGGGATGCTTGGCTGGGGGGCTTGATTTGAGAACCATCGGACTCGATTTGAGCCAACGGTACCTTCGAATCAGTTCTCCGCGTTGTCATGTTCGTATGTAAAATGCTTGCCATTGGTTTGAAGAACAGATATACAGACTCTCCACTGGCAGTATCGCTTTGCATTGTTTTCTGATGTTTTCTGCAAAACCTAACAGAAGAGAGGTGGAACCCCACACCTCACAAAAGGGGCCGATCATGGCCGATGCAGGATTCTTGACAAGAAACACTTGTGATCACAGACAGCAGGTCTCCCAAGTTGTTTGCTTCATCCTCCCAATCCTCCTAACCCTCCTAGGAGGGGGGAGTTCTTTCTTGCTTTTTAACTTTTGGAAGAGCAGACTGTTCTTTGTTCAATGATATTCAATGCTATATAAGAGTTTCTGCAATTGTCCGTCGTCGCCATGCGCAGAGACACCCAAAAAAGAGGAAGAACAGCGCCAAAAAGCTGGAAGAAGGTGTCTTTGGTGGAACCATGGGTCTCCTTCCCTTTGGCAAAACCAACCCACGGACCAAACGCATCCAAGCAGCAAAGCTTCCTGCGACTCCTGGAGGACCGTGGTGGCCGTGTGCAGCGACATCTTCCTTTGCCATGATGTGCTGCCGACCCGTTTGGCCTCGGAATCGACCAGAAACGCAAATTTCGCAGCGGTGGGAAGGACCAAAAGGCTCATGAAAGAAGGACTCCCAAAGAAGGACTTGCAAAGCAGTTTGTCCCTCTACATCCCTTTATACTCCAAAAAGTAAGTTGTATGACATGGTACAATAAATACCACCTACTTAGACAAATGGACAAATCCAACGTTTGGCCCTCCATGTTTCTACCTGGCGGGTGCTGGTAATTACGATTCCTCATCACCTTCACCTGCCAGGTGGTGCTGAAGGTGAGCCAATGCTTTGAAGCGGCTCAGCAGCTGGCACGGAATATCTACGCGGCTCAGCTGATGCATGTTTTTTGCCGGTGGGTGAGAGCCTCCTTTTTCGAGAAGAGATATTGTTGTCTCTCAAATAACAAGCCGTTGATCTAGCTAGTAGCCTATTTATAGCATTGTTAGCTATAGCTTTCTAGCCAGTAGCCGTTGATCTCTCTCCTATTGATCTAGCATTGTTAGCAACAAAACCATGAAAAGCGGGGTTTGAATGACTCCGTGACTGCGACTCGAAGCTTGTTTTTGGAGTTGGACTCTGCTTCTGAAGCAGTTGGTGACTCCGGGCCTGAAGAGGTGAAAGATCCGTCCGTGTCCCCTCAGCCGGGTGAATCGGTGAACACCATGACCAGATCGCTTTCCGCTCGCTCCAAGCATCCAACGAAACACCCTCTCAGAGACGAGAGACACCGACTTCGACCGACCCTCGATGTCGTTGACAAGGTCCGGGCGTCCGCGTCCGGGCGTCCGCGTCTCGTCTCGTCTCTGCCATCGATTCCTCTGCCTCTTCAGATCCTCAAGCGCCTCCACGCGGTGTCCATCGTCCCGGAGGCCACCGGGCGCAGCCGGGCACGGCCGGGCACCGCGGGGTGCGGTCGGAGGCGGGTGGTGTGGTGAAGTGAAGAATCATGAAGCTCTGATGATGTTTGATGTGTGTGACATGTGTGGATGATGTTTGTCTTCATGTGTTTCATGTCTTTTTTTTTACATGTTGACATCATCATATCATATAATCATCTCTGATGCTGATGACACCAGAAATGCATCGCTTGTTGTTTCTGGTAGGGCATCTCCATGGCCTTCATGAGATCGACGTAGACTTCTTGGGATCTCTCATGTAGACTTCCACTGGTTTCAGAGGCGAGACGCACGGGGGGAACCCCCCATGAGGTCCATGGCATGGCATCGGGGGGCTCAAAGCACCGACATTGGGGATCTTTCAGCGGATTCTCGGGATTTGCGGCCGTTCACGGCTGACGACAGAGCTGTTGGTCACCAGATCTGGGCCATAAAAGGGGCCCTTAAAAGGGGTTGGCAGTTGTGTGAACTGATTGAGTGCAGAGAAAGCCACAAGGGTTGGAAACGATCCTTTGATTTATGTTCAAGGCAAGGCACTGAATCAAGGTCTGAAGACCATTGACAGCACATGGTGTTTTCAGCACCATCCATTTGCAATTTGTTCTTCAACTGGAACATCGATCGGGGAGTTGTCGCGGAAGGATTGAAGGGATGTTGCCATCTTGAGTTTATGGATTCACATGGAATCAACACAAAGAATTAATCTAATTATGAATTGAAGCTGTACTGGGCTGTGGATGGTAGTCCCTTCCCAAAGCAAATCGTCCACACATAAACTGCAACAAGAACGACCCCCGATAACGTGCCAGGGGAAACCACGGGTGCTGCCATGTTGACTCGCTGTAATTTGCCAGTTGATCTCCATGAAGTTGGAAGTCTTCCAAACTTCCATGGAGCAGGTCTTGTTCGAATGATTCTGACTCGACGTCCTGTTCCATACATGTGCGACGTCCTGACATGTCCTGACTGGAGGTCCACTACTTTTCGAGCCCCACTTCATCATTGCCCTTCATGGTGATGGACTTGCTTCAGGCGGTAGCGTAGCGCATGGAGTCCATGGAGATCATGGAGTCGATTTCTCCTTTGTTTAAAGGCCAACACTACTGGCCAGAGATGAAGCATGATGAACACAGGAGGGGGGCACCCTGACAATGATGACAATGTGATTTGTCATGGCCAAGTATAAGCAGGGTACCAAAAGCACTTCGGGGTTGGGTCGCGGGGATTGGGCAAGCATCCATGGCCATGGTGCGGAATTCGGGCCAAGCACCTTCGGAACGCCTGCCGACTGCCTCCTCTTGCCAAGGGATTTCCATTTCCCCAGATCGGTTCAACCCAAAAATGCCACCATGAGGACATCATGTGTGATTTGAGGATGGTCAAAAAACATCTGTCCTTTGCGCATGCCATTTCATTCCAAGTGCTTGTCCTTTGCAAAGTGCCGTTCTTCGAGACCAAGTGGAAAGGGTTGTCATCCCAAGCCGGGAGCGAACCAAAGAAAAGCTGGGTGAGACCGTTGGTCGTTCTGGGCCGCAACTGTGAGGAAAGAACAAGCAAAACGGTGGACGCCACACAAACCACAGAACAGACATCCCCCCCAAGTAGGGAGAGCACATCGGGCGTTGCTGCTTCTGTTGGGTGTCCGATTCTCCTTGTTCTTTCAGTGTGCTGGTCCAAGAAACAGATCTCCACCCCCTCAAAAATGGTTGGTCCTGGGGTCATCTTCAAATTGGATGATTGGCCAGGGCAGCACCCTTCAGACTCGCTTCCAAGACATTGCAGAGGGACAGGCCTGGCAGGGACTTAGGAGTTGGCCAGGGCAGCACCCTTCAGACTCGCTTCCAAGACATTGCAGAGGGACAGGCCTGGCAGGGACTTAGGAGGTGGCCAAACAGCAAAGCGAAGTGGTTGTTGCTGGTGTAGGTGAGCCACATCAGACTAGTCAACAGGGGAGCTCCCCCCAAAAAGACCTTAACAAAAACTCAAATGTACTGTTCTGACCAGCACAAAGGGATGCTTCATGGATGTTAGGGGTGCCCATTATCCACTCCTTCGTGGATGTGGCAGACATAGTTGCTGGGCAGTGCATGGAGGTCCTGAGCAGAGAAGTGTTAACCAATGTTGGCCCTGACCTGGGGGTGTTAACCAATGTGGAGCCACAGCAGAACAAGGAGGGAGGGGGGTTCCTTCTTGTAGCCTTTAATTATCTTTAATTACTTCAATTACCCACTAACACCAAGGGAGAAGCCTTCAAAAGGCTTTTCTCTCCTCGTTGCACTTCAAGCAAAGCGAAGGGATTGCTCTGGCCCCATGGCCACAGTTCCCCTCTTTTCACAAAAGCACATCCGGCTGTTTTGGTTTGGATCGGGCCAGCTGTGTTCTGAAGATCAACCACGTTAACTTTTGGAAGCAAGGAAGGTAGATGATGTCACTCTGACTCTCCAAAGAGTAATGTAAAGACTTTTCGATCACTTCGGAGTTTAGGCCAACAGCCGACTGAGTAGGTTGCGGGGCCAACTAAGTAGGTTTATCCAAAGAGTCAACCGTTTTCAATCAGTGGGAGGGTAATGGAGATCAACAGCCGTGGAGCAGGTGGAGGGGCGGTCGTGGCTGGCAGATGTTTTGGCAGGCAGAACCCATGTTCGAGCTTGAGGCCGCGGAACTGGGCTATTCTTTGCTGACGGGCAGCTCGTTTGCAGCTACACCAACGTAGCCAAGGGGTTTGTGCTTTGTGTGTTCTTTGACGAGTTGATATTTGATACATGACATGGACATTTTGGCAAATGAGCTAGGGGTAGAAATGTTGTGATCATTTCTTCGGTGGTTTGGATCCAAGAACTACTCACGGGTCCGGTTATGCAGTTTCTTCCGTCCAAATGACATACGGGCCCATAACGTGCTTGTCTCATATTCTCCCCGAAAGCAGAAGATGGACACAACGATGCAAGTTTGGGGCTGGGCTGAGAACAACAAGCAACAACTGTCGAAACACATAGTATATGTGCTGTACAGTATGCAGTCCGACTCGCTGTATAGTATGGTAGTGGATGTCATGGCCTTTTGGGGAGGACGTTGAAATCCTCTACAGGTTTGGGTGGGAAACTGCTCCACTTTCATGTGACACACGAGTTCGGTTCAGAGTGTAGGACACAAACCCAAGGGGCCCAAGACCGAATTTTGAGGTATGGATGCTTGCCACCAGCAGCAGGCAAGACATGGGTTGCTTCTTTGGTTGGCAAGAGGTGGTTGTTTCTTTTGGAGAGCACCTGAGAGCCAAGCGTTCTAACTGCTGGGAGGAAATCGGAGTTACCCAGGAGGGCGGCCTTGAAGGATAGATTGATGCAGTGATGCCTGGATGAAAGATCTTGCCCCTGACACAATGTAAAACAAAGTAAGACATGGGCAGACCTGAGTTTGTCTCTCAAAGACTTGGGAGACCTTTTTAGTTCAACTTCCAGTTTGAGCAAAAGTGACAACCCAAAGCCATTGGATTGACCTATTTCTCCGTCTCAGGAAGCTCCGTTGAAAGCCGATGTGTGAAGCTCCGTTGTTCGGTGCGCCAGGTCTTCAACTTGGGCTTGTGTCCCGAACATGTCTGGGCGCGGTTTCCCAGAAACAGCACTGAAGCAGGAATCATTTCCAGGATTCTGTCACTAGGTGAACAGATCAGTAGTTAGCTGAACAGATCACAAGTAGTTCACCTTCAAGTAGGGACACTTTTGAGCTGTGCATTTTCTGGGAATCATTTCCAGATTCTGTCGTGAACCGATCGCAAGAAGTAAATAGCTGACCAAGTAGTTCAAGCAGCTTTTTTGACTCTTTAGTTCCCCGTGGAAACCCATGGTGCTTGTGGTCTTCTTCAGTTGAAACGTCCAATCAGTCTTGACATTCTTGACACCTATAGGGAGTATAGGACCTATACTCCTATACTCCTAGGATGTCAGCCTAGACTCCTATACACCTCTACAAGGATTCTTGACATTCTTGACACCTGCATCCTATACTCCTCATCCACCTCATCCACCTCCCTCCATCGGGAGTGGCTCACTCAGGTCGGCCCGGACCTCGACGGCTCGCGGATCCGGATCCTGGTGGGGGCCGGTGGCGTTTGAACTCGCCGCGCTGAACGCTTTGTTTCGCGCCGGACTCGGAGTCTGGGTGGACTCGGCAGTTGCTTCGAGCGCAGGATCATGCAGGATTTTCAAAAGCGGGTGACCGATGTTCGAAGGATCTTCATCCGAGGGTGAGCCACTCGACAAATGTCTGGTTTCGGGGAGAGTGCGGGAGAATGAGCATGGGCCCGTCGTCACTGATGACTTGTGCATCAAATGATGATTCCATAAGCGGCCTTCCCAACTCATCCCATCACACTCGCCAGGATTGGAGTCATGCTGAAGTGGGTGCTGCCAGCGTGGACAACTCTCAGCCCGGGCTCCAAACAGATGTTGCAGATAGCATCCATCGGCACGTGGGCGCTTTGGACATTCGCCCAAAGTACCTTATTAAGGTGTTTGTTTCTTTTTTGGGAAGATAGAAAGCTGTAGGAACATGAAGAACACAAATTTCCGATTCTTCGGAACCTTTTTGGGGATCCTGGGGTGTCGGCAAAGGGAAACGCCACGCCTGGCCGGCACTCCCAGCGGGTCCAACCACCGGTCCAACGACCCGAAGGGACCGGTACCGGCTGAGGGTCCAAGCCATTGGAGACATGAGGCGGAAAGGCCAGCTTCGAGGCCCGAGACACAGGTGGAAAGGCGAAGAAGTGGTCTCCATCTCCCGTTTGCGTCATCCCTTTTTGACAGCAGAGCATGGATTTGGGGCCCCCAAGACTGCAGGGGTTGGTATTGGAGGGTTCTCTTTTGGTGGTGCCCAAAGACACAGTGCCTGGGTGGGAGGAGAACAGTCACTGAGATGGGAAGTAGCGTGAGAAATAAACATGAAGTTGAGGAAAGGAGGCTGAATGCCCAACTTGAAACAATGTTAATTGAATTGTCTTTTTTGATTTGGTTGGAAAAGCTGCGTCACATCACTGAGTCACCAAGCTTGCACAAGGAAAACCATGAGAGAGAGAGAGAGAGAGATGCGTCAATCCTTTGATCAGCAGGCAATGGCCGGCCATTGTTTTATACGACCTCTGGCAACGTGGAGGCTGATCTGCAGTCACAAGTGGTGCATCGTTCTTGCTGACAAATTTCACATCTCCAACAACTGGTGCTCCGGAACTTCTCGTTTCATGGTGGCCAATGTCACACTATACAGACTGGTTCCATTGTAGAACTGGTACTCCAGAACTGCGGAACTGCTGCTGATGAACTACCAAATATCGAATTTGAAAAAGGTTTGAACTATAAATGTGTCATTGCCTGGTGCTACTATAAGTTACATGGTCGCAGTACCAATGTCATACTGGTTTCATGCTACGACTACGGTATACGACTTGTGGTAACTCCAGAACTGCGCAGACGACCAGATCTCACTGCATTTCCTCAGGTGCAGCCGAGTGAGATCTGGGCCTGTGCTCGCAAACGTATAGGCATCGGGACCTCAGTGGTGACCTCTGACTGGACTCGACCTCGGGCAGCTTCACACGCTATGTATCGGCTTTCGGAACTACATCGTTTGGCCACATCGTTGTTTCCTTTTGGCATGATGGAAGCGAAGTCCAAATGCCAGTGCAATTGACGGTCAGTCGCAGCAGCACTTGACGCAGCTACTTGCTGCTTGTTTCGATCGACGAGGATCGACGAGGATCGGAGATTCGCCGTTCGCCAGCGGGAAGGGTGTTGGATGAAGTTCGATTCCCGTGCTGGTGAACATTTCCTAGCTCCCTTTATTTCCGCACGACGGACACAAACAGGCAAGTGCGCTGGTGAAATCCGAAGTCCAAAACAGGCAAGCAGTTGCAGTCCTTGACGGCGATGTCCAACTTGTCGATCTTTGGTGTGGGCGCTCAGCCAGCGGTTCGCGGTACGCAGACGGAGGAAACGGTACGGTATGCTGAGGACAGTATACCTGTGTTGGCAAGGTGAGGAGTATAAAATGGTCCATTTTGAGGTCCATACACCGCGCGAAAGGCTTCAATCTTTCCATACACATATGGACCAAGTCCCCCTGAGAAGGACTTTGGTGTCCTGCTCACACTGAGGTCATGATATGTTCTTGCCTTCTATAGACCACCCACCAGTCCAGTGGTTCACTACTCCCCCACCACCCAGACATTCCACGTAACCCCTTTTCAATCAACCACCACAATGTATGTAAATATGCCAGTCCGAGGTCGCGTCTGGGCCACACTCACCCAGACACTCCATGGACTCTTTCGATTTCGCAGTCCTACTCCTTGCGCAAACCGTGCCGTGTGGCGCGCCGGTGTGGTGCCGGTGCGAGGCCATGGAAGTTTGTACTACATGTCCATGGAGCAGCTCTACTGCGCCATTAGGCCCCGCCAATTGGTTTTGGTTTGGAACAGGTTGGAGCATGTACAGCATTGAGGTATAGCACCTTCCGAAATCGGGGTCTCCAATAGCATACACTGCTTGTGGATCTCCATTGAGCACCCTTTTGAAGGTATATATTATATAGGTAGATGTAGATGTAGGTGTATAGATCTTGGAGGATCTTGCAAGCATAAGGACCCAAGCATGACTCTCAAAGGGGGCAAAGAGTGTTTGTTTGTATTTTGATGAAGCAAGGGATGTGATGTGAGACATCGTTTCAACTTTTTTAAATACTTTTTTCACCAATAGACCACATACTCAAAATGATCCTATCCATCCCCCACTGATTTCCCAACCTTGCTTGTTTAGTGGCTGGGTATTGAAGGTTTGGGTGGCCGAAGCTGGGACTTGCAGTCCCCCCACACCGTCCCAGCAGTCAGTCGCTTGCTTTGCTGAATTAGGACTCTTGGCCCACCTTCTTGTGATGTTTTTCATGTGGTGATTGAGTGCACCGTATAGAAGAAGAATTCACGAATTACAGATATTGAGGTTCCGTTGGGTCTGCAGTGCTATCGAAGACCAGGGAGATGGTCCGCGGCTTTGGCGGTCTGAAGCGCCGCCATGGGAGGTCCTTTCAGAAAGAGACCAGCACGTTGCGGCCCGAACAGACCTGGCATCAGGACTGGCCGGAGATGGGTGAGAATGCAGTCCATTTAGTTGATGGCCATGGGCCATGAAGGGGAGCATCTTCGTTACTTGCCATTTGTAGCACGGAGCAGTCTAGCATACGTGTAGCTGCGCGGGAGGCAAAAGATGTCAACATTCACAGCCGGGTGTGGTTTCCACTGAAGTTTACTTCAACCATTTCTCTCCTTCCCAGCTTTGGGCGACCGGCCGAGCCGCCACCGTTTGGCTCAACCCGCGGGGCGACCGAAGCTCGGCGCCATGCCGTGGGCGGTTTGCTGGGATGAACTGCAGGCTGCGAAGTGGATGCCGTGGTGCCCGCACAAAGTGGTGCCCGGTAGGCTGTGCTTGGATGTGCTTAGGATATTTTTTTCAGAATATTCTTGGCGCGATTTGGCAAAGCCATGTGCACACCATTGCACACCTTTGGGCTCACCCAGCTGTCTTCTGAGAGGTTTTGTGAGTGCATCGATCAATCACGTGCCAGGGCCGTGTTCCTCCGCTAGAGCAGCGGCAGGCGATATTGCGCGGCCAAGAGGGAAACTGTGTGGCGGGTGGATTGAGGGACGAGGGAAAGATCTACCATTCAGAGCAAAATCCTGCATACTAAGACTTAGGGACACTGATGTGTCGTGTTTTTGGGTTTAGGTTGGCTGGAGATTTCGGAAACCTGCCGGTTGTACTGATGCTTCCTAGATGATCTTCCTTGGTATTGTTTACACTGAAAATAGAACCATGCAAACCCAACCAGTTCTTTGAGGGCATTAGAGTGCGTTGATTTACGTTGGTTACATGTTATTACTAATCTGCAGCAATTAGAGTATGGCTTCGGAAATGCAGCTGTTTCAGTTTTGCCTCCTTGGTTGTAGCTGGACCTGAACCCTGCACCAGTGCGTTTCCCACCTTGAATTTCTTGGAGCTCACAGAAGAAGGACAAACATCTGCGTCGTTTGATTGCTCTGTAGAATTCCATCAGCCATCCTGGTGATTCCTTTTTCCTGGCCATTTCCAGTTGGTCCACCAATTTTGTCCATCAACACTTTCCAGTTTGGAACCATCAACATGTCCGGTTTGCAACCATCAACATGTGCAATTTGTAGCCATCAATGTGTGCAGTTTGTAACCACGGTTACCCAAAACCCCAACCAACTCTGTTTTGGAACGCTCGGGAAGCCCGGCCATTTTGGGATGCAGGAGCCATCTCGTAGTAGCTGTCTGAAGCCGTTGGCTGCGTTACGGCGGGGCCCGGAGTCCTAGGAGGCAGGTCGAAAATCCGGCGGGACCACTGGAGCAATGGCAATCTTTAGTCTATAGTTGCTCCATGTAGTCTCTGGATTATTAATGACTCCATGTAGTCACAATCAGGGCAATGTCATAATTACTATGTAATCACACATAGTTATAGTCACAATCTATTGTGAGAATCTTTTATTTAGTCTATAATTAATCAATTGCTTAGTGTTGTTAACGAGAACCCTTTGCACGTGCTTTTGATGGTCCCTATTAGTGGCATGCTTTTTATGAGGAGTCAACGGGCATCATCACAGCGTTCCGTTCTTCCTGTTGACTGACCCAGCTTCTGCTTCTTTCGGACGCATGCACTTTCAGGCGCTATCGGTCCTTAACCCAGGCTGGGGTAGAGGCCTTCTTGTAGGGCCAACCAGTTGGCTTTAATTCAAGCTCCCAGTGACAGGTGGTCCCGGATCACCCGTCAGGTATCTCTTGGCTTGCTGCCAGCCGATTTGAGGTCCCATAGACCTCCAATGGGTCACCATTGCCACCACTTAGCCCTCCAAAAGGCTGCGAAGATGTCTCAGACAAGGGTCTCCTGCTTGTGTTCAACGAGGCTTGTTAGCCCAGTGGCCCCTGGTAGCACGCCGACCTGCTGCCAACGAGGCCAGACTCACGGCCATGCTTCCTCTCACGGTCATGTATATGAGCCACGGTCAAAACATGCGAAAAAGAAAAACACACTTTTTATGCTTTGACCGTCCCTCATATGTGAGTCATTTCATGTTGAACTGCAAAATACCCGAAAGAGGTGGACATGGAACATAGGGCCATCCCAGCTTTGGAACATACGGCCTCTGGTTTAAGCGGGATTTTCCATCTCCTGGTGTGTCAGGACCTTGGGAGCTATCAGCTTGGGAGTCAACAAGCACACCAATGGCTGAGAAGGTGGCTTGGGGGACAGTCCATCTACACAGCCTCAACTCATTCAGAGATACTGTTGATGGAACGAGGTCTAAGCATTTAACGACTTTTGCATCGTTTGAAGATGTTGAATGCCTTGCACTAGCTGAATGTGGTTGTGAGAAGTTTCTCCGGCTGGCAGGCTGCTGCCAAGACCCATCGCATCGACTCTTCTTCAGAGGTTTGTGCCTCAAGTATACTTAAATTGCTGAAACAGGTTGAGAACACATTTTCAGGTTGCGAAACACATAGAGAGACCCTTCTTAGGTTGTGGAATGAAACAGATTGAGATCTAAACTGCCTGAAAGGATCATGGTGCGCATGGTCCCAAAAGGAGGACCATGAGTTGTCCGAAAACCAAAGGGGTGGTGAAATTACTCCACTTCCATTTCAGGGAGTGTACCTGACTCTCTCATGCTGTACTGGTCCTGGTTGAAGGCAGAAGCTTCTACCGCAAGACCTGTCATGCCAATGGCCATGAGAGAAATCCCAAGTGCAGGATTTAATCCCTAGACAAAAGTACCAGTCGCAAAGGGATTTGATGCATCAAATCCCGTGCCGGGTGTTAAACACACATAATGGAGCATCCAGGTTGGGTCCAGTTCACATGCTTCCTGGAAGTAGCGTCCGCAGGCAGGAAGAGAAACTGTTCTGTGAAAAGCTTGGTGGCGAGGCAGGACCAAGCTGAGAATCACACGAGCCCCAAATGTCCTTCATGCGTATGCGGATTCATGTAGATTTGTTAGATATTGCTTGCACAGTTCGCTTCCATAGATGTCGTGACAGGCACACAGCTCTCTTTGGGGGATTCACATGCATATGGTTTAGCGTACTCATGTCACTTCCCAAATCAAAGAAGGTTGCCCTGTCACCAGACGGGAAAAACAAAGGGAGAACTTCCTTTGCCCAACTTGGAGCCGGGGCCCCCTTTGATGCCCTTCCGCAGCTGTTAGTGAGAGACATGCAGTGTACACATGATGGAATGGCTTGACCATAGAAAACCTACCAATCCATGGCATCCAATGTTGTATACTGAGCAGGAACATGTCATTTTTGTATGTCATTAATTAGATGTCATGCACCTCCCTATTCAAAGGAATGTGATGTTCAATCAGAGACCATGTCCTACTGTCGATTTACAAATATTTCTACAATTTTCTGCATAACTTATTGGACACATGACCTGCCCATCTCCCCTTGAAGTACTCTATGCTGAAGGGATCATTCGTTTCCAGACACCATCATCCAACTTCCTGGCCTACAGGGCCATCTGTTCTTTCCAATACTTGCGGGCGTTCGCCCTTCATCCCAAACCTAGGCACTCCATGCTGTATGGCATAGACCACCTTGACCCTGGCAGAACCACCCCAATGTCGGTAAATCGACCAGTCCCATGGATGGTCTGGGTGGCAGCTTCCCCCCACAAACAGCAGTGTCGGATGGCCAAAGCTGCCAGTCGACCCGCTCGACCCGACGCCACCGGATGCGGCTGCTGGCCGTGATCGTGGGCGCCTTGCTGGTTGGAGTGCTGTCCATCGTGCTTCTGGACCTCTCGGAAGCTGGGAATCGAAGCTCAGGGGGTGGAGGAAGCAACAACAAAAACACGTATGACGCAGTTGATATAGGGAATATGTCGGACACGAGGCGCCAAACAGTTTTGAGTTCAAGTCACTATAGTTCGGAAGATCTTCAGATTGTTGCTGGAAGGAGGCATGTTGGGTGGAGGGTATTGAGAGGGTTTTCGTGTGGCAGAGGGACTTTTGCCCATCAATGGTGCAACGGTACCATAGAAGCTGAAGAAGAAGAAGAAGAAGAAGACGAAGAAGAAGAAGAAACAGATATGATGATGCCGCCAGATGGGTGTGGCTCAAGCATTCTAAGCTTTCCCATATAAAAAAGAAGACGCATTGTTTCTTGATCATTGGAATGCTTCCCAAATCTCACCAATGGTTACACTCCCTACAATAACCATGGTTACGTGGATGGCATGGCACCGATTTTGAACATGAAATCCTCTACAAGGAGGTGGTGCCATCCATGTTAACCATGAGGATTTCATGGAGAGTAAGTCCCTCATCTTGAGACCCCAACAGCCTCATGATCTCAGCTTTAGACCTCAAAGCAACTGAGGGCAAGCTGCCCAAGGGAGCCCAAAGCAACCTTGGCATCTATGGGCTGGTCGCCGGCATTTGCTCGGCGATCGTGGGCTTGCAGACGCTTTTCTGCGATAAGCGATGCTTATATGGAGAGGGTGTACAAAAAAAGGAAGGATTGTCCGTTTTGGGTGTAGAAGATGCCAAAACTATGAAAAAGATGCCACAAGGCACGGTGTAGCATGGAATCTAGGATTGCTTATGGCATCTATGGGTTCAAAAACTGAAGAAGCATGTGGAAGTACATGGGGCTGTTGTGGTCCGTTGAAGTTTCAAGCACAGACTGACTGAGATGTTTCATTCGCGATGATAGCCAGCTACTGTATGCTCTCAGGCAGGTTGAACAGTCTTAGAAATCGCTTTAGCATTTTTGGCACATGTCCATTGAACAAACCAAGTCTAATTAAACCAACTAGATTGAATGAATGGGAAAGACACTTAGCTCTACTGACTGCCTCTATGAACATCTCCTCTCTCACTGTCAGCGTGTTCTTGACACTCCTTTTGCAGCCGGAAAAGGCACGCCCCCAACGCCTACCAAAGGTACTTGGCTGCAACGCTTCCAAAGACCCAACGCCTTGAGAAGCTGAACTTGCAGCGGAAAGTGCAACACATCTTCACAGGCGAAACAAACAAACAAAAAACGAAAACATCAATCCCGTCGGTCGCTTGGCACATTTTTCTAGGATATCAACCGGGCACGACCTACCTGGAAGGTCGGGTCGTGGCCCTCGCGGCATGTTTGGTGGATTGGTCGTTGAAGGATCCCTCCGGACATCTTCCTTCACGCGCGTGTGTTTCACCAAGTCGCTGAGGGATGGGTTCAAAAAGGATTGAACACATGGGCTGGCTGGAGGGTGGAGGACATGTAACACGATGTAACACGTGAAGCGATCGATCACTTCGTTTTTTTCATGGGGTTCTTCGAATTTCACTTTGAATCACTGTGTCAAAGAGTGTCAAAATCCAGCTTAAATGATCCTAAATGTACAGTTAGCACCAGGCCCATTCTTCTTCCCAATGTGTTCCACTATCCCACTTAGACTTTTGCAAAACAAAATTCTCCATGCATGGAGTTCATGTTTGACCCTGTGAGGTTTGGCGCTGACGGCGATCTTTCTGCTTCTGCCCTGGAAGACCTGCGTCTTGGCGCTGGGCGCTGGCACCATCTCCTTAGGACGCCTGGGCGCGCGGCCGCACGGTGGAGGCTTGCGCTTGGCGCGCAATCCGCCAACGAACCAAGCACCCAATCCGGCAACCAAACAACCCACCAAACTCACTCACTGAACACACACATATAAGACACCGCAAGCGGTCACGTAAGCTATCAGACACCACTACAAGCCTCTGTCTTTGGTTTTTCCTTTTTCGGAAAGAAAGAACCGGATATCCAGGAAGCCTGCAACTGGCTCGTTTCCTCTCCGACGCGGTGAATGTGGAGTTCCTCCGGTTCTTTGGGTCAATGCTCAAAGAAGAAGAGAGGCCAGCCAGTGCGAGCGGGGAGCGCGAGGTGGAAGCCGTGTGGTTGGTGGGTTGGAGTAGACTGGTTTGATGGTGGGAAGAAAATCATGTCATATAAGTCTATAAAAGCATATTTATATATAGGAACATAATATAGGAACAGCAAAAAAGATGAACACAACTTAGCAACCATTGCTGAGAGAAGCGGAGATGAGAGCTTTTGCAGTTGCAGCACAGAATTCCTTGTATAACTCTTATATTGTTTTGGACTTACCAAAGGTTGGATCCAGGATTGAATTTCTCGGATGTGGATGTTGGTTGTGTTTTTGCGCTATAGTCTTTGATCGGGCACTTAGAGTCTTTGCGTGACACCCAGGACCAGCCGGAAGGCTCCAGCCGCCCTACACTTTTTGATCGGGCTTTTCCTGTGTCTCATCACCTTCCCTCGACGACTAGCACTGCTTTGTGCTCTGGTGGCCACCCTGGCTGTGACTTGGCCGCTCTACCTAGTCAGATCCCATACTTTCTTATGACGTGTGGAGGTTTGTTTATCAATCAAGATTACATGGTCATTCGTCTGGTCCACAACTTCATAGTCTTTCATATGGTCGTTTGACCGTCATCCGCTTCCCCCGAACCTTACACCTGTCTGTACCAGGGATTCTTGGCATTCGTAATATGATGAGGATGAGATCAAATCTTCCTTGATCAATTCTCAAATCAATCTGAACCTCTCCTCCCATCTCCTACCCCCCCAAACACACCCAAATCACCACCCTTTTCGCACCCCCCTCCTCCGCCCCCCACAGCTCCTTCCGCCGCCGCCGCCCCCATGGCACCGCTCCAGGATCCCTTCGCGGCCATCGGCGGCATCCTGCTGGGCGGGCCTCGGCTCATGCCGGGCGCCACGCTCGCGGGGTCGGCGACCTGCTGGCTCGCCGCTCGGGGCGGCACAATTCAACTCCCAAGATCTGCATGTTGTTCCTTTTGTAATTAACAGGTCCATTTTTGACAAATGATCCACCCAGCTTCGCGGGGTCAGCACGACCGACCTGAGTGGAGATAGACATGACGACACGACGTTCCACGATCTCAGGTAGCTACCCTCTTGGCTCTCGCTGTAATCCTCACCTCCGGAACCGATGCCGGCACGGCCGTGGCCGATCTGGCCGCGGTGGCACTGGTGAGCCAAGCGGATGCAGTTGGGACGGGCTTGCGTCGGGGAATATTGGTCGATGGATGGCCGTGCTGAGTATTAGATCTATGATAGATATGGAGGTACACTCACTCTGTCTGCGTACACGCGACATGTGGATTATGAGGCCGGTGGCTTTCATCAGGTGGCTTTAGATCTTGCAACAAGCATTGCGACGGACAGACGAGGTGGCGGCAGCGCTGCCGCCTGCGAAATGGCTGGAGGTGGGTCGGTGGGGTCCCGTTTGATAGACCAGTTTAAACTCCGGGGCTCCTTATAATAAACCTGGATCGTGGGAAAACGTTCTGTAGGAGGAAAGGGAGCTTCTTTTGCCATCCAGCTTCCATATTTTTGGAGAGAGGGGAACAAAACGGTTGACAAAAGGTGTGAAGCATTGGATTTCCGCTGGTGTGGTTTTGCTTCCCTGTCGTTATTTTGTTGGATGGCCATGGGCCATGTTTATGTTGGATGTCTGAAAGTAAATTACGAGTCTACATGTCTTCCTGTATCGTGATCACGTGTTAAACTTATCTTTGCATAGTTTTTGCCTCATCATGCCTCAAGGTGACTTTGAAAGGTCAAATCCAAGGGTTTCTTCAGGCTCAGGAGCTCAGTCCTACGAGTTGCCATGTCCTTGCCATGTTTGTCAGAGCGACTCCTCTAAAGAGTCCACCCCACCAGCGAACAGCGAACACATAGAAACATAGAGAAACACAGAACTTCGCCAGCGCCTAAGAGGGCCTAAGTTCGATGCAGCTGCAGGTGTTCTTCCTTATTTGGATGACAACATGCTCACCAGTTTCGGCACTGGACTTCTGCTGCTCTCCGTGGATACCATGCTCCGTGCCGGTGGCTACCTGGAGCGCACTGGATACATACGATACATCAGACGTGGGTGTCGAAAGTGTGGAGGTAGTCCTGCAGTACTTAGGGATCTCCATTTTGGACACCCATCCGTTTTTTTGCCACATGGGGCTGGGTGGGACAAATTACGGTATAGACATTCATGTCTGGTTTAGGTGCAGGCCAAAGCTGTGTGAGCGGCTCCTGGAAAGCCAGAGTTTGATGATCGCTCAGCTCAGGCTGGCACAGCAACGCTCTTGAGCTGCTTTTGAGCTGATCTGCATCTCTCCAGCCAAATGCGCAAGAGAAAATGGTGTCAAATGCCTGTGCCGGTTGCAGGTGGGTAGAAGCCTCGAGGCTTCGCTTCAAGTGCCAGGAAAGTCTTAGAATGAAACCTTTGTCGGACATCAATGGTTGACCCTTCAGCTTCTAAACTAGATCCGTGGCTCACACACAGGGCTCCCTCAGCCGATCCTGCTGGGATTTCATTGGTGTCCACGAGCAGCTCCACGTGCAGGTCTACACCTTCGCAGAGGAGGAGAATCTCCACCTGCAACTCTTGCGCCCTCCGAACTCGGACTCCAAGCCTGGCTGCATGGTGCTGCTGCACGGTGGGCGGGGAGCTCGGCATAGACGGGTCAAGCCTGTCGGTGGGGGTGTCCGGCAAGGAGAAGTACCCGATTTGGTGCTTTACTCCAGATGTTTTTTGTTTGTTTTTCTGTTATGTAGAAGAAGGAACTGCAATATTTTGGCATCACTGGCATCATGTGACTGCTCTTGGTTGACATCCCCTCCAAAACTCACGGCGGAACCACTTCTGTGCCCTAGCTCCACCATGAATCGCCAGCTGTAGATCAATTACATGGCATACTGTGGTGACACTGTGGTGATTCACACCTCCATGCACCACCACGCACAACCCGTGCCGCAACACACGCGGCGCGCAACGGTCGTCGAAGGTCATGGATTTCGGGCTCTCCGTCGCAGTTCTACGAGCACGCGCAGGCGTGTGGAAGAGCCGCGGGCGGAGGGGGGTGGGTGTTCAGATGAGATTGAAGGAGTTGAAGAGATGGAAGGAGTTGAGCACAACTCTATTTCTGCTCAACATTTCTATGGATGATGTTCAAATCCAAATCGAAAATCTGACAAAAAAAGAAGAACCATCCAGCCACCACCATGGCACTCTTTGTTGCTTTCCTTCACTTCAAGCGCCGGTCACCCGCAGCCGGTCACCCACACCACACGCAGAAGCCGCAGAAGCCGTAGGCCGTAGCGAAGGATCTCGGGGTGTCGGTGGCCACCTGCCAGTACCGGCTGATGTGACCTGGACCAAGAGACTCCGAACGGGCCGACGATGGCTGGGGAAGAGTGAATCAGACCTAGGGCTTCTGGTTGGTACATATTTTTGCGGAATTGTCGATTCAAAAGAAAAAACATCGAAATTATTGAAAAATGTCGAATTGGATGTTCACACACTGAAAGTGATAAGTACTGCCCCATCCCATCCCACATCCTGCTCCCTTGGCCTTTTCTCCTGGCTCAAAGCTCCATGCTTGGGTGGCCACCCTGCGGGATTCCTGGATGTCTGGCACTCAGGACTTTTGACGCCACCGTTTGAGCAAAAGCTTTCCTTTGATCATGTATAGCTCTAGAACTCGTCGGGGCATGATAGAGCCGGTCACCCTTCTACTCAATCTACAGCATTTTCCGATCACATCCTCGTTGCACTCGCACGAGAACACAACAGGAGAAAGACACAAAGCATTGGAGTCCACGGATGTTGATGTCAAGAACACTTCGATGTCCCAAAGAAGGTGCCTAAAGTAATGGATCTTTGGCACAATTGCCCATCCACAAATTGGTAGCGGAATGACCTGTTGCGCTAGCCACATGTAGCCGTTCAGGATGCGCCGGCCAAGGAGCACCAGTTGGGTACAGCAAGCACGGGGCAGGAACAACTTGTGGCCATAAACCAAATGAGTGAATTGTGAAATGGATTGGCTCACTTCCAAAATCACCTTGAGCATGACCTTTCGGTCACGGTGCCTCTCCTCTTGTGTGTCCAAAATCACCAGTGGAACCAGGTCTTGGATCCATTGGTTGAGAAGAAGGCAATCCGATGCCTTCACATTGGCCCACGCGTAGGAAGCTTGGTTCTGCCAGTTCAGAAGCTGTCGCGAGAATGACCGTAGAGATGGTGTGTGATGAAAGGTGTGGCACCACAGGGCAAAGTGCCCGTGGGCCCTGGACAGTCGGACCACAGCATCATTATGCCGTTCCTCGGGAATGGCAAAGAACTTCCAATGAATCAGGAGAACCAGAGTCGATGCTACATGGTGGCGGTAAAACCCTAGCTTGGTTGTGTGCATCAAGTCCCGTCGAAGAACTCTTTCAGGTTCAGCTGCGTCGAATGGTGCTCTGGTGATCCCAGGAGCGTTATCAGCGGCCCATGGCCTTGATCTCCACAAAGTCCTAGTCCACTTTGGTGCACTACCCACCTCTTCATACGGGTAGTTCTGAAGGCCTGCAAAACACTCGCTGCACATTGCTAGAGATCTTTTCTTGCCTCTTGTCCCAAAGTGCCGCTCCAAATGTCCAATAGAAGCAAGCCACTTGTAGTCTCCTTTCATCCCCAAGAGTGCAGCTGTCCAAACACGCCCCTGAACGCTCACCCCTTCATGGAACAACTGGCGCAAGTCACTTGCAATTGTGCTGACCATGAAATCAAGCAAGCCAACGTACTTCTTGTACACCGAGCAATGTACCAAGAACAACGGTACTTTGGTCATGAAGCTGTGCTCCTTGAAATTGTGAGTTGCAAAAGCAACCCGGCTCACTCGAGTAGTTTGCTGCCCTGCGTCGTTTTCCAGCGTGCATTCAGAGCAATCAAAACAAGTGTCGTTGTTGGCAAATCTCTGGGCACTTTGAAGGCCACAGGGGAACTCAATCGTGACCAAGGCCGTGTTTCCTCGTCGACGACCCCGACCCTCGTCGCCGTAAAGGATCACTGGAATCGTGCCAGATAAGGACACAGGACCATCTTGGTTCTGAGTGAACACAGCGTGCCCAGGGTGATTAAATTTGTATTGATGCCAGAATGATTCAAGGAGCGAACTTTTGTCCACATCAGCTCTGAACCCACCAAAGACCATTTCTGGAGCAGTACCAATCAGATACTGAAGGACATCAACAGGCGAGAGGTATGGGATGAAGATAGACCGGGTTCCCACTCGAAATTCCGCCTCCTTGATTGGTATCTTCCATCGGTACCCCCAACGCTCAATGCTTTTGTGGCAAGCTCTTGATGCGTTCTTGGCTTTGGAACCTCTAGGAGCCTCCTTCTTGCCGTTGCCCAAGTCGCAACCCATGACAGCTTCGCGAGCCCCCTCCAAAGAAGACGTGGGGACCTGGGAGATTGGGAAGATGGCCAGATATAGACAGGAGTACCTAGGTAAAGTGGTAATAGGTGAAGAAACAAAATTGAGGATGCGGCTCCATCAGCTACTGCTTCAGCTATGGTTTCTGCAAGATCCTCATTGAATCGGGATTTGCCTGGCTGTCAATGCTGTTAAGCAAATTACTTTGGTTCACTCTAGGAGCTGAGTTGGATAAACAAGATTGTGGTTTATTCCGAAGTCCTCTTATTTGAGTGGGTGTGGGCAAGCAGCCAAGTTCCATTTTTGCCACACATCGCGCGCACACGTGCATCAATCCCGATCTAACAGTGACGCTGGCAATCCAGCATTGAACTGACACAAAGGCAGCTTGTATGTGCTGGCCCCTCGGTGCTGATGGTTGCAGGTGGCCTAAACAACCCCAAAAACACCAAACTAGTTTTGAATTGGATTCACTTGTGAAATCTTTTGAAGCATCACCTTCACATCTCAGCACTCTAGTGGCGCCAACACCCCACACAAAAACCTGTAAAATCCACTAAACCCCACTTATTTTCTAGGCTTCTTTGGCTTACCTTCTTCAGGTGACTTGGGCTCTTCTTTAGCAGCAGTAGCCTTCGCCTTTGGCTTAGCTTTTGCTTTGCTCGCCGCCCGTTTCTGTTTCTTTTTTGCCGGCTCTTTCGGGTAGAGCTGCCTGCCACGCATTAATGTTGCACATGTTTAGCAATGAATGACTTGCGTTCCAAATTTGATGCAGCTGTTGAAGTCTTATTCTGGGCGCACTTCATCCGACCCTCCAAAGCAATTGCATCCATAGCCCTGGAAGAGTTCAGCTGGAATGGAAAAACAATACAGGGTGATGAGTGGCATCGTTGAGATTATTCTGCTGCTGAGGTGGTGGCTTACGCTGTGCATCGGCGAAGAGGTCGCCCAGCGATTTCTCAACCCTGGGAGTGGGAAGTCGTGGGAAGTCGATCCATGGCAGGTTTGATTGGAATTTGAGGGTCAGGCCTTCGGGTTAGCCCTTCAACCACACCATTCTGGAACACCTTGTTGATGTTGTCGTGTATGCCTTCGAGTTCACTGACGGTTGTACGAATCTTTTCCACCATCCTGGAGTACAGTGGGCATGTTGGCAGACCAAACTGTCCTACTTGCCATACCACTTTGCATCACATGAAAGCATTACCAGTCCTGCTCTGGAGATCAGACAGTTCAGAAGACGTGGAGTAGCGATCCAACCCTGCTTGCAACTTCCCAAGTCGCTTGTCGATGCAAGTCCTAGGCTCCAAACTGTGTAACTAAAGCATGTTTGTAATCAATGCAATGGACCAAATTAGTACGAAGTATGCCATCGAGAATCAACATCTTAGGGGCTGATGCACTCGGGAGACCATCATCTGGCAAGTCTGGAAGTCCAGCCTGGGCCCGGAGGTTTGCCAAGTTGTCAGCCTCCAAGTCTGCATCGGGATCTTCACTACATTCATCGGAAGAACCATCATCACCTAGGTGCCCAAAGAGGAGTCAAGCTATGACCAAGGGTGGGAAAGGTTAAACTGTTCACCTTCAAGTTTATTGAACACATTGGGGACCATGTATCAACCCTCAAAAGCCCCGGCCTGATTTTTCAGACTTCTTCTTATCCTTGCCCTTGTCGTCTTTGGTTTTGCCATTAGGCTCTCGGGCTGGAAGGAGACTTCCAACATCAGACGGCTGCATTCCAAGCTGAAGGCCTCCGGACTCATCGAAGCGCACCCGCTTGTTCATCATGATGGAACTTTTCTTCCTGGGACGGAGCAAAAAAACAGAACTGAGTATTGTGTAATTGGTTATACTTGGGCAGATTGTTGAAATAATTTCACGTAACATGATGGAACTATCA